TATATGCATCTATACTGACTGTGTTATTTATTACTGTAACTATTTTTAGAGACAAATTTCAACTTGAGAAATATGCCAAGATTTTGATTATCCCTTTAAATGCCACTTTATACACACAAAGCTAATCCTCAGCATGAACGGTGTTCAAGGCGTTTTGTGTGTGTGCACGTGTGTGCAACAACATATACAGAGACAACGAGTGATACTGTTACAGTCTGTTGCCATGTTGAAAGGGAGAAGTTTTCTCTTTTGCACGAAGATGTTGTTTGAAAAGTTTCTCAGCCTTTGCTCTCTGACAGAGATAATGAGTCATTTACATACGTTCTCATCATCCCTTCATGCAAAACACAGACAGCAGGTGGTGGAGGTTATGAATAAAAGCACTACCTTGAGTATAAGTGTTTTATTTGCATCGGTGCAAACGCATCTTGATTCACGCAGCTTTTAACAACACAAGACAATTCTTGGTAGCTCGAGGAAAAGAAAAGTCACGTTCTGTTGGAATAATAGTTTCTGTTCATTAAACCCACCAAATGAGTCAAAATAAATATGTTGGTGAATGTTAATTAATGCAGGTGTGACATTGACTGCATTGTTACACTTTCAAAAATAGTTCAAGGTCGTTAGGCTGTTCATCTAATGTGAGTAGTGTGAAATGTGATGAATCGTAGCGCCGCAGCTCAGCAGCAATTTCAAGTGGTCTTCGTATTTGTTATCTCGAGTGCTGTCAGTAATAAACGGATTTAATTCACATCTATGATTTGTGCAATTAAAAGAAACATTTTTTTTTCTAGTGAAGTGTGAAGTTTGGTGTCACCAAGCTATATCTTGTTATTTTTCTGTTAATAAACACTCTGACTTGATTTAACTTTAAATATCATTTAAGATAGTAAGATTAACTCTGTGCATTTCATTTTTAACAGCTTCGTCCTAATAGAGTATAAATGAAAATAAAGAAATTGCATTTCCTGTAAAAATGCAGTGTGAATACTTATTGCTGAAGAACTTGCTGAAAAAACAGCTGAAGTTAGCTGAAATAGAAGAACAGGCCTAAACTAGCATAAGGAAGCAGAAGAAAACACATATTTGCTGAATTATGTTAAAATAAGCAGAGATGAGCACACAATTTAGGAAATTAGCTTAAAAAAGCTGAAATTAGCAAACAGCAGCTGAAAGTAGCTGAAAAGGCAGGAAGAAGCTTAAACTACTAGAAGGAAGTGCAAGGAGCTGAAATTAGCAAAACAAAACTGTGGAGTTAGCTGAAAAAGCTAAAATTAGAACAAAACAGCTGAATAGTAGCTAAAATAGCAGAATATGCTGAAAATAGCATATTTAAACTGAAAGGAGCATACCAAGCTGAAATTACATAAAGCAGCTAAATAGGTTGAAAGCAGCTAAAATTACCACCCAAAAAGTTTAATTTAGCTGAAATTAGCTAAAAATGTTTAAAATGTAGTTGAAAAAGATAGAACAAGCTTAAATTAACAGAAGAAAGCAGAAAGAACAAGTTTGCTGAAAAAAGCAGAAATGAGCAAAAAAAAAGTGGAAATTGTTTGAAAAAAGATGAAATTAGAAGAAAAACAGCTGAAATGTAGCTAAAAAAAAAAACAGAAAGAAGCTTAAATAACCAGAAGGAAGAGGAGAGAGCACATTTTTGCTGAATTAGGCGGAGCAATGTTGAAATGAGTGCAAAAAATGTGTAATTAGCTGAAAAAGTTAAAATTTGCATAAAACAGCTAAATATTAGCTGAAATAGCATAAAAAGCTTAAACTTGCAGAAAAAAAGTTGAATGGAGCACAACAAGCTGAAATTAGCAGAAATAAGTTAGAAGAGGCACAAACATGTTGTACTTTGTAGTTAGCAGAAAGAAGCTGAAAGGAGCACAAAACAGCTGCAATTAGCTGAAAGTAGCTGAAGAAAATTTACAATTTGTGGAAGGAAGCTGAAAGAAGCTGAAGCAGAACAAAATGTGAAAGGAGCAGTAAAAAGGTTGAAAGCAGATCTAAAGATCTGAAGGATGGAAAATGAGCTCAATTCATTTTTTATGAGGAAAAAAAAAATGTCAGAAAAGGCTAAATGTTTCAAAAAGCTAAAGTTGCACCAATACCAAAAATTATAACAGGTTTGGCCTGAAAGAGTTGATTTGTTGAAATAGCTGAAAACTGCGGGACGAGACATGTGCCAAAAAATGTCCGGAAGAAAAATGAATCAGAATAGAGTGAATGCTTCATAAACATTCACACAATGAAACATTCACACGTTCATAACAAGCATATCTGAATATGTGGACATGTATGTTCAAACGCTGGAGTTTCTCATGTGCAGCACAGACTTTGGTTCGATGAATGGGCCCAGCTGGAAAAAAGGAACAAGTGTTGCCGTCTCTTTGGTGAAGGCTGAACAGTTTTGAACAAGGTGCACGTGGGAAACTTTAGCTGGTTGAAGTCTTCCCCAGCGTGCACAACAGCCCCAAACAAAAAGGTAATTTAAAAGAAAAGGCTTTCTATTTAATTCAAAAAGACAGACGCCATGAAAGAGCATGCATTTGCAAATATTTTGCATCTAATTTAGTGCCTCATGAATATTGTTTCATGAATCCTAAATAACAACCTCCTTGGACTGTTTTTAATGACTTTGCTATGTTTGCACTTTAACTAATTTGAACCTTATTCAAACTTTTACCACTTGTTTTTATTCAACAAAAACAAGGTGATTGCTGTTGATGGCTTTAAGGGAGTGTTTAAATTTGTACATTGACATGCCCTGTTTGTAACAGAAAAATAACTTTTGTAAAAACAAAGCAAACCCTCTTCTTATACTTGTCATAGAAGTATTTAAACATATCTCATTCATTCATTCATGTATTCATTCATTCACTTATTCATTCTTATCAGGACCTAATAAAGACAATTAATGTAGAGAATTGAAGAACCAGTCTTATTGTAAAAAAAAACAAAATGGAACAAATCACAGCAATAAACAAAGTGTCATTACTTATTTGTTGGAAACTAAGCCAGAACTGTAAAAGTGTATAAGCATTTATCTAAAAAAGTTAAAACTGGTCCTCTGGACATTCAAAAAACCAAAACAACACAAAACAAAACAAAAAAAAGTAGAAACGTTTCATCTTTCATCTGAAAGACTTCTTCAGTTCGAGGTGCTGTGTTCAGCTCAGTCTTATAAATAGTACCTGCACCTCTGAGGTCTACACTCATCTCCAGGTCAGAGGTCACTCGTTCAGGGATGAAGATGTTCACATCCTGGACAGAGAGGAACGGTGGTTTGAGAGAGGAGTAAAGGAGGCCATCTTTGTGAAAAGAAACCGTCCATCATTAAACAGGGGCGGAGCCTCCATGTTCAACTGTCCCCCTCTTACAATGCTGTGATTGCTAGTATCACTCAGCCCCCTGTGAATAGTAAACAGCCATCAGTGTGCTAATGATCCATCGTTAGGCTGATGGTCCTTCTTGACCATGTGAGCAGCTGGTTCTGGTTGTCAGCAGCAAACTGGTTGATCCACCATGAGGAGGTGCTATTTATAAGACTGAGCTGAATACAGCACCTCAGACTGAGGAAGTCTTTCGGATGAAACACGAAACGTTTCTACATTTTTTTGTTGTTGTTTTGCTTTGTTTTGTTTTTTTGAATGTCCAGAGGACCAGATTTAATTTGTTTTTAGATTTTTCTACCTGGATTATTGAGCATGCATCAGGATATAAGCATTTATATTACTCTTAGTTTGACAGAAGCACGTTCAGCATGAACACACCAAAGGAACTGCCTTTGTATGACCTTATCGAATGTAAGAACTGTTAATGATCTTCCTTTAACAAAAATATTGCAACTTGTCACAATCTGACAAATTTTCACATTATCTGCATTTGGCCATTGCAAATATTTAACTTTAAAACATTTTCATTTACAACTCAGGCCTTCTCAATAACTTTTTGAGTCGGAGGCTAATGGCTCAGAGTAGGAGGCTGGAGTAATGTTCTTACATTGACATTACACACATGTTCTGTGTGGCACAGATGTTGGTGAATACAGAACGTTTAACACTGAACATTTATCTTACTAACATTACAGACATGAAAAGAGTTATGAAGTCATAATCATCAGCAGCTGTCAATCAATTTTGTAGCGGGAGAATGAGACAGGTCCAGTAAAAAAGAAAAGAAAAGTAAAGTAATGATTAATGTGTTGCGGAACAACATTTCATATGAATCTTCACTGAATTGAGAAAGCTCCTCGGATAAAGTCCATTTGTTTTAGCTTTTAATCGTGTTTGGAGTTACTACATAAAGTTAAATGGTACAGAGGATATTTTGTGACAAAAGTTCAATAATATGCAGTAAAGAACTTATCTCCGTGTGTAAACAAAAAAAGGGTAATACATTTTTCAAATATGACCTCCGATAAAATTCAGCTTAAATGCCTGGTGTCATTGGTCTACCTTCATAATATACATATTTCATGCTGTTTTATTAATCCAAAGTATTTAGTAAAATGTTCAAGTTGCTGGAAAATGCATAGTTTTGAGTAGATTTTTTTAAAGTATTTTTCAGGGTAGGTGGGGGTCACTGGCCCCTGGACTCCTCTAGGAGTGGTAGGACTGGAGGAAGTGGGGTGTAACCCTTCACTTTTAAAATAACTCAATATTACACACCTCTGAGACATACATGAGGAAGATGAGAATCCCAGTGAGTACTTTGGTCATTAGTAGTTGTGGTTATTAGTATTTGAGCATGTAGTTGCCATTAGGCATTAGTAGTTGAGCATGCATCAGGATATTAGTAGTTGTGGTTCAGTGAGAGACTACCTTAAATGTAAGACCACTCTAAAGTTGCGCTGGAATAAATTGAAACTTGGGACACCAAAAGTAGTCGGATGAGTTCAAACGCCAACAAATTTAACAGCATTTTGCATAAAAACTAATTAAAAAGTAGGGTGTAGTGTGAATTCACACCAACTCAATTACTGTGTGCCTTTCTGTCTTTAGCTCTCTTGAGGGCATGCGCTGATGGAGCTGCCAATCATCTTTACAACATCACTGCTGGAGATCGTGACAAGTAAGTTGGGCTTGGGTTCACATTTGAATTAGGTCATTTGTGCTTTGACTTTGTTTATGCACTTGATGTGTGTTTCAGTGGACAATGATTAAACAGAGAAGCTATACATTAAATATGTATAATAAGCTTGATAACACAGGAGACTGAAGCATTCTGTGCAGCCACAATCTAACTGACTTATATAGTTCTTATGGTTAGAACTGTGGTTATGTTTAAGTGTACGTGCTCTCCAAGCAAAATTAAAAAAAGCTCTCTGCTCATGTTTGAAGCTGTATGTGTTTCTGATAAGGTAATGCTGGTTTGCAATCTGCAATAACCTTTTTTTGTGGCTAATGGAGGGCTGCCGTAAGGACGGAGATGGATCTGGGGATCGCTGGGTCCCTGAAGTGTCAAGACTTTCACATTAACGCTCAGAGCGTGAGCATGAGTGTGCCTTTCACCAGGGTGTGAATGGGATGTTGTGTGTTTTTTCATGTTTGTCTCTCTGTGTGCATGTCCTTGCAACTTTATTGGTGTAGCAACCATTTTAAGTCGTAGACGCTGGAGGTGAGGACATTTTGAACAAACTGACATCATTCAGACCCATTACATTTGCCACTGAAAAGGTTTATGTCCAGAGCATTGTTGTGTAGGTTTAAAGCTATAGGTTTTGTTTTTGCATCTATGGTAAAAATACAAAAAAATGTATATATTGGAAATCACTAAAACAATAATTTTAATGTTGTAACCGGCATTTTTTTTATTTTTATCCTTTGCCGTTTTAATTCTAGACATTTTTATGTAATTCAGTTCGACTGGGAATATTTTGGAAACTGTACGTTGGTGCAACAAGTTAACCAAGTGGTCAAAGTTTTTACAGCAAGTCAAGTCAAGTCAAATTTATTTGTATAGCACATGTAAAACAGGAACTGTTACCAAAGTGCATTAACCAAAGACAGACAAACATGGGGAGACTATAAGCTGCAGCCACTTGAGCGGTGCCACAGTTTTAGATAAGGATCAGAAATCAGAGATCAGAAATGACCTAATAACAAAAAGCAACATAAATAGACAGACGTATAAATTTATTCATAGGGGACAACAAAGGTGGTGAGTAGTCCATGTACACTCCAGAAAGTTCCAAAGTTCTGATAAGTTGGTACAGTGTCTATCAGCGTCACAATTCTGATAAGGCCACAGATGTCCTCGGGAGAAGAGGGGTGGCAGAAATTTCTAGTTTACGTATCCTCCAGGAGCAATTTGAGATAAGTATATTTGAGATAAACAACAATTGTTTGGGCCACCAGACTCCGTTTTCTGTCTGCCTTGAGTTCTGCTGGTGCACTCAATGGAGAATCCAAACAGCCAGATTAGTGGACATTCCGCCCGGTCCATGCTCAATTAGTTTTCTCCAAGACTGAATCCTTCATGCCGGCGAGTTCCAGGAGCCGCACGTGGTCTACGATTCTCAGAAATCGCGTCCAGCTTGCGGTTGAGCTTGTTAAGCATACGAGTCTTGAGCGCCCGAGGCACGGATTAGTCCTTCACATAAGGCTGGCGGCTTTACCGTGGCCGAAACTGCTGCCAATGTCTTCCTAATTTGTCGATATCCTAAGTATTTGCCGATTCCAAAAAGCAGAAACCCTCCACGGACAGAACAGATATTAAGATTGCTTTTACAGTTTTTTACATTAACATTGAACTTGTGTTTTTAATTAACCATCTTCAATTTATTCATCAATTAATCTTGGAACCTGCTTGTCAAATATGCAATGCAGGTACGAGTTGTGGCCCAGACTGTGCAGACGTTGCTCACAGTTTCATGCGTTTGTGTGACACAGCAAATTCATCCTCCGACCCTCGAGTTCAAGCTCCGTCAGCAGCCTGTGCACTCAAGCTGACAGCCAGGTTTTCCTTTTAGACTGACTATCCAATTCTAATAGCACCTCTCCTGAAAAGTTGTTCATTATACACTGATGGTGAGGAGAGAAAACACAAAGGAGAACAGGGAGGTCTTGTTAAATGGTGGAGATGTGTAAATAAACTTAAGACCTGATTAACCCAACATTATCATACTAATAGACTACAGAGGAGGGAAGAAGAAGAGCAGGGGTAAGTGGAATACCAGTTATCAAAGCCCAGTTTAATAAACTCTCAAAAGCACCAAAACCCAGACAACAAAACCAACTTTTACATAACATGTATAACAAATGAGTAAACTTCACACCAATAAGATATCAAGGGAAAACATGCATATGGTTTGCCAGTTCAGCTGTACCTTGGTAGAAATTAAGAAGTACATTTTGCCTGCACATTTGTAATATATATATATATATATATATATATTTGGTACCCTTATTCATACTTGCATCTAAAGCATGTCTAATTCAGCAATACCTCTGACTAGACTGACTAGATCTCCTATATTGTGGGAGGAAGTTGATTACCCAAAGAAATCCTTCACAAGCCCTGTTCTGGGATATCACCACAAAGACATGCCCTCTTAAAACTTCCTGGCTGTTCCTAAATCCCCAGTCTACCTGGTCTCTGTTACAAGCTCAACTGGCAGCTCAGAGGTGTAACAGAGGTAGGTTGACTTCAACGCCATGTCTCCTCGGTTATTTTAGAGCTCACAGATGAGAGGAAGATGGAACTGGCTTGATATGTTTTGCAAAAGGGGTTACACACACAGGGTGAACTTGCACACTCCACCCATTCAGGCTGTAGTCAAAATTTAAATCAGAATCTTTCTGTGGGATGATCGACCTTCAACCAGTCTGCAGCTCTGTCTGGTTTAGCCTATTCACTTTTAACTGCCCTTGATAGTCACAAGGGACTTTGCGCCTTTAAAATTTAACACATGTCCACAGTAATGATTTAAATGAAAGACAATTGTACCTTTCTGGTTACTTCTCTAAGAAATATCTAAACATAATTGGTAGGATTTAAATCTTATATGTGTAGTGAAGATGCATAGAAAAAAATGAATTATGTCCAAAATGTAACAGACTTATTTATTTGTGTTTTTGATCCATTATTGTTTAATAATCTTTGCTAAGGTTGAACCACGTTAGTCTATCTGCTCAAATCCAATGATCAATTTACAGCCGTATAGACATTAATACATTCATTGTTTATGTGGTACAAAATGCAATGTTTGATTTTTTTTTTCAAAATATTAGTGTTTGTAATTGGATGGGGAGTGGTGGCACAGAGGTTAGAGAAGGTGCACATGTGATCGGAAGGTCGCCGGTTCAACTCCCCATATCGACAACATCAAAATGTGGGTGGGAAGGGTGAAGCACCCACACCTGCTTCCACCCTCTTTTGCCCCAATCTGGACCCTTGAGCAAGGTCGCAGCCGAAAGAAGAAGAAAATGTGTTTGTTATTGGATATCATTCCAAACATTTGACTGCCTAATGGCATCCATCCATTCGCACCCATTCATTACCTCACGCACTTCTTCGTTTCCGGGTTGCAGGGTCACTAATGCCCATGTACAGCTTTCACTGTGCGAGAGGCGGGATACACCCTGAACGGTCGCAAGTGCGTCAAAAGGACCTAATGACCTGCTTTGCAAATGGTTGTTGACCTCTAAAGTGAACGTCTAACAAGGTTGAATCAGGTCCTCAGGACAGATTCTTCTTTGAAGAAACGTTTCGTCTTTTATCCAAAATACCTTCAGTCTCAGGAGCTGCAACAACTACACGTAGTTCGGTCTGTCACCAGAAATCTTGTTGAGCCACTATGAACCAGAAGGTGCTGTTTATGAGACTGAGTTTGTTGCAGCTCAGACTGAAGAAGTCCTTTGGATAAAAGATGAAACGTTTCAACAAAGAAGAATCCATCCAGAGGACCTGACTCAACATAGTTAGATTTATCTACCTGGATTGTTACACTTGCATCAGCATATCGAAAGTGAACGATTAAAACAATTTCCTAAAACATTACCACCAAGACTAAGCTCTTTTAGCTAACATATATATGAAGTTTATTCTAAAGTTAACTTAAAATTTACAGTCTGCACTTTGATAAAAACACTCTGGACATCAAAGCGTGTTGCTATTCTTCATCTTCCTTGCTGTTTCTGTTGTGTTAGCAACATTTTCACTTGTTTAAATTATGTAAAATTAAAAAGAGCCGTGCATTTCCACACACCATTGGTTTCCCATCTCGCCTCTCTTGTCATTTAGGACCACCATGTAAGTACAGGAGCCCATTAAGGACAACACATTGCTTGATAGTGTCAGCACTTTGTGTTTTTAACTACCACTGTAATTTGTGGGCAGTATATAATTGGTTGTATTTTGTTATTTGTGCCTTAAGATGTTACTACGGTATATCCTACACATCTTTTACTGGTTTGTAGAAGAGGGTAGCAGCCAAACCTTCTAAACAAGCCGCAGCTGTCAACACTTCAACTGAATTTTCAGCGTCTGTACGATGAACATTTAAGTTATGTCACATTTCTTAGAAATATATCCAGTCTTTTAACGTGCCTGCAGCTGCACCATGTTAGAGGTGGCATTTTTACATCCAAATGAGCAATAAAATTTACTGCTTCACAATTTTCTTAAGCCATCTTGAGAAAAAAAAAAAAGTAAATTATTTCAAAGCATTTTAGCGGTGAAAAAAAACCCCCACGGTTTTAACAAGTGAAGTTCGTGAAAGTGTCTAAATTCTCACATCTTTGCCTGTTAGTGTGTAGTCCCATCAAAAAATAATGAGGATAATAAAAATTTCTGCTCTACCTCCACAATCTCTGGTGCTGTCACAAGAATAGAGTGGGTGGACGGCATCCCACTGTTAAAAGAAAGGTGCCACGTAATTTTCTGTCAAAACAGCCTTAATGGTAGACATTAGGGATGTAGAGTGGAGGCGCTGCTTCGGGCTAAGGCTTTCTGCTTTCACCATGAGTCAAGTGACAGTGATGTTACTTCAGTGAATAGCGTGCTAGAAGAAACGGTGCATGTTTTTTGATTCAGATGAAGGCTGCATCCCCCTATTTTATTTAAGCAGT